AAAAAAATAAAGAAAAAACAAACAAACAAACCCAAAAAGGAATTGAATTTGGGTTTGTCAACAGCACAATACCATGACATTCCAGTGAATTAATTCCTTGCTCTCCCATAAGGTCCCACATAGATCATCTAAGATTTTCAATGCTACCCTGTGGTTTGGACTCCCCCCTGGAAGGCAAACAAACTTTGGGACTGCTGAAAAAGTAATCCCTTCCCATTGGCCCAGAACTGTCTAAATAATTCATAGTAATAGTATGTATGTGGGTTGGGGGTGAGAGGGGGGGTGCCAAACCCCTAATTTCTTGTTCCCTCATGTCATAATTTTAGTCCCTTTACTATACCTCCTCCAGATGTAGGGGTCAAACGGGCAATCCTCTTTTCTCTCCAAGGTACAGGCTACTTAGGAACTTACCTTCTCTCTCTCAAAGGTCAGCTTCCTGAAACTCTTAAATGTGAATTATCTTGTGAGTCAACCCCCAAGACTGGTACTGCCCAAAAAATTTTTCTTTTTCTGGCTAGAGGACTGGATTTTGGCATCATGATGCCCGGAACCCAAAATCTCCAACTCTTCAACATAGGGATCTTAAATGTGGGAATATTACCCATGAATTCTCCTGTGGGGTCATGCATCTGCAGCTTTTAAGTTCTTCTCCAGGATCCACCATTGTTGCCCCAGCTATTGCTGCTCTCATGCTAAGTGGGTAAACATGTTCAATTGCTATGTTCTTTTGCTTTGTCAGCCATTAATGCCTCCTAATAGGGACATGTGCCTAGGACCCAGGTTTGCTAGACACAGGGAGGTGCTGGAGCCATCTTTAATAACTTGAGAGAGCAGATTGTTAAATTTTCAGTATGAGTATTTGTCCCTCAGAAATCCCTAAATGCTACATATCAGGGCTCATTTATTGTTTTGTTGATTGTCTAGACTTAAGAAAGTGATGGAGAAAATGTTAATTATGCAGATTAAGCTTAAATGTTTGTTATTTATAGTTTCTTCCTGGTGGTTAAATATTTGCCACCAAACCCCTGGCTATACTCCTGAAGAAAGGTGGAAGAGTGAGTAAAAGCCAAAAGGACCAGAGGAGCCCTGTTAGCTTGAGTTTATGGGCCAGAACAAAGGAGCAGCTCATCCTACAAGAGTCCATTTTCCCAAGCTTTGGAGCCAACCAGTTCTTCCTAGGAGTAGCCCAGGCACATAATCATGAGTTGTCTTTTATCTTCTAAATAAGATGCTAATGGACATGTCTGTAATTTATTGGGAGAGGCACAGACAAACCAAACAACGGCTCAATAGCTTTGGGTTTCCTTGCTATCCCTGCTAATTTAAGAGATACAAGGACACTCTCAAGGTCTCTCTGAAGAACTTTGAAATCACTTGGGAGACATGGGAGACATTGGCACAGGACCACCCAGCATGTTGTACCCACATCAAAGAAAGTGCTATGCTTTATGAATAAAGCAGAATTGTAGTAACTCGAAAGAAATTCGAGATGTGAAAATTTAGAGACATCCCCACTCCAAAAGTTCATAAGGACTATTTGTAACTGACCTGTGGTAGAGCTTTCTAAGCTCATATTGGTCTGACTAGCCACAGTCAGAAACACTGTACCTTGGCTCCAACGTAATGATGTTATTTTGGTCCTCTCTGAGAATGCATGGTAACAACCAACCAACCAGTTTATTAACATAGTTGTAGATAGACTGGCTCCTGAGCCAACCTCTGTTTCCTCATCTATAAATAAACATATTGAACTAGATCAGGGGTTCTTAGCCAGGAGTCTGTGAACTTTAAAAAATTTTTTGATAACTATATTTCAATATGATTGGTTTCCCTTGTAATCCTGTATATTTTATTTTCTGCATTTAGAACCATGGTTCTGAAAGAGGGTTCATAGGCTTCACCAGATTGCCAAAGAGTTTTTTTGTTGAAAGTTAAGAACCCCTGAACTAGATGATCTTTCAGATTTCTGCCAGTCCTAACACCCAATTATTTAATTCAACACACATTTAGAAAGCACCTATGGTACTAGAAAGAGAGACAAAAATGGAAACAGTCCCTGGCTTTGAGGAGCTTACATTGTATGGGGAGAATACAACATATGCACAAGTAAATAAATACAAAGTCTATGCAAAGAGACACAAAATAATTTCAAGAGATAGATCGAGTATTATCCACAAACATGTTACTATTAAGCATCTACTCTGTGTAATGGTACTGGATCATGATTCTAAATCACTATTCAAGGAAGCTTCAATTTGATTATTTTTTGTTCTGCAAAAGAAAATGTTTTGCTTTGCGCTTGTTGAAAACTCAATAAATATTCACATGTCAAAGGTGAGTTGTATGAGGTATGAGGGAAACAAAAACAAAAATGAAATAGTCTCTATCTTCAGGAAGATTATATTCTATTATATTACTATTCAAGACTGATGCAAATATTGCATGAGACTGTCCTCTTTGGTGGAGAGAATGTTTACTTGGGGTGGAGTTGGTGAGAGCCTGGAAGAGGAGAGACATCTTCTGGCTTCCAGTTTTTGAGACAGAACACACAAAGTTCTAGGCTCTCTTCTGGGACAGACCCCTGGAGAGCAAGAAAAGACTTTGAAAAGTTGTCAACATGTAGAGAAGCCAGTCTCTTGACATGTCCCAGATTTCTAGAGTCTCTCTAGAGATTTTGAGGAATTTCCCCTTAGGATTCTCTTGGTTGAGCTATCTCACTCCCAGGAGTAGCACTCATTCACTCTGTGTATTACTTGGTACAGTCTACTCTGTATAACTTTCGTGATTTCTGTTTGCTATCTGCTTGCATAAATGGGTTTATTTAATATTCAGTATTTGCAATTGTCTTTTGTGTAACTAGCATTTGGTGAGAAAGGAGTCAAGCCTTCAGATATAATCATCCCCCTTTAAGAGATGCTGACTAAGAAGTGACTTAAACTTAAGAACAAAGTCATTTCCCCTAGATTGGCAATGTTTAGGGGGGCACAGAGTTATAATTCCAGTCTGTTACCCCCTCTGTCTTTAGAGAGCAGAACAAAGCTTTGTGGCTTCTTCTCCTGCCCCCCTGTAGTCAGGACTCAAAGTCTCCTTTGGAGAAAGGTATTAGAGATTTCAGAGATATCAATTCATGTCTTTCTGTGAGCTGAATTTAGTAAACCTTTGTGAAATACATATAACCTATACATATCTTACCTGGGTACATAGAAAACAGATATAAAACCAGATACAACTTGATTTTTTTGAGGTGGGGGGTAGACATGTCAAGAATGCTCTAAGGTGGTGTTTGAGGAGAGTCTTTGGGGAAACCAGGGGATTCTAAGAGATGGAGGTGAGGAGGAAAGTGCATACCTGGCTTAGACACAGCTAATACAAAGGCTTGGAGGAGGGAAATGGAGTATCTGGGATGTGGCACAGGCTCATGAAGGAGAGTAGTGTGTAATAAAACAGGTCAGATCTAAGATTTAGGAACCAAAGGCTTTAAAAGCCAAACTGGGAAATTTATATTTGCTCCTAGAGATAATACAGAGCCACCGGAATTTACAGTTTACAGGTGAGACCTATGCTTTAGGAGAACTACTTTGGTAGTGCCTTCCGGGTAGGGCCCAGTTTGTTTTTTCTGCCTTTGACTTTCCAGATCTCCTTTAAGTCGCAGCTAAAATTCCACTTTCTATAGGAAGCCTTCCTTAACTCCTTTAAATTCCAATGCTTTTCCTCTTTTAATTAGTTCCTATTTATCTTGTTTATAGCTTGCTTTGTATATATTTGTTTACACGTTATCCCCTCCCCCCATTAGATTGTAAGGTCTTTGAAGGCAGGGACTATTTTTTACCCCTTTTTGTATCCCCTTCGCTTAGCACTTAGTAGGGTAGTAGGTACTTAATAAATATTTATCGATTGATCAATAATAAGATGCCTGGCACGTGCCTGCTTCATAAATGATTAAATGAATACACCCCTCTCATTTTTAAGATAAGGAAAATGTGACTCACAGAGCGTAAGGGACTCATCCAAGGTCACACAGGGAGTGTGTGTGAATCAGGACCCGAACCCAGGTCCGCTAAGCCAAGCTCCCCACTTGTCATCGTGGTTTAGGCTTTTCAGGGGGCGTAGCTAACTAACACTCGCCAGAGTCCTCTGGGAAACCAGGTTACAACATAAACACAGTCTTGCGGGTGGATGATTTACAATGCCTGAATTTTCCTGCATGGGTCAATCCTTTTGGAAATCCCAAACTCCGTTTCCAGAAGCAGCTAAACTGTGGTCAGTGCTCCCGGCAAGTTTAACTACTATTAGTCGCTTAGGAAACAGGGATGGAGACCCAAACTGGAAAGCAAGGGGTGGGAGGAGAAAAAAGAAAGGAGCAAGGGCACTGCGCTTGCGTAGCCTCGGGCATCTGGAGAACCTGGGAAGAGCGTGGGGGAAGGGTTCCCTTGCTTACGTGCGCCTAGCGTAAGAGGAGCTTCAGCGGCCACGCAAAACGGCTGAGCCAGAGCCTCTGGGGGCCTGTGTCGTCGCTGGAGAGTCGGCGCGTTGGAGCCGGAAGGAGAGCACACTGCACCGGCGCAGTAGAGAAAATTTAGTGCGTTTGCGTGATGGGAGGGGAGCGAAGGGGAGAGAGGGGAGAGAGGGGAGAGTTGCGCCTGCGCAGCAGCAAGCTCGGCTTTGGGGGTGGAGGGCCGCGGGGTCAGGGTTGCGGCTGCGGGTGGGGCCCAGGGCGGCGCTGCTGAGCTCTCCAGAGCTGGGCGGTGCCGACGAGGAGGAGCCTGGAGGCGGCCTCCGCGCTGGCGGCTTGTTCCTGACGCGGCTGCTTTCGTGGGCGCTCCCTCCTTCTTCCGCCCTCCCTCTTCCCCCCCCCCTCCGCTTCTGGTTCACTTATTTAATTATTTATTTTCTGTCTCTGTGTGTGTGGGTCTGTAGGGGGTGAACGTGTCCTGCTTCTTGGGGCGGGGGGGAGGGAAAGGGGCAGCCGGGGCCGAGCCCACAGGGGTGTGATTCGCCCGGGAGCGCGGGCCGCCCGAGCCGTCGTCACCGCCACCGTCACCGTCACGACCGCCGAGAAGCCCTTGTTCCCGCGGCCGGGAAGGAGAGTCGAGCGCCGACAAGATGGCGGACGGGGAGCTGAACGTGGATAGTCTCATCACCCGGCTTCTGGAGGGTGAGTGCGGGCGGGACGGGAGCGGGCGCCGGGGGCGCCGCCGCCTCCTCCCCGGTCCCCCGAGCTCCCGGGGGCGCGGGGCGGGGCGGTGGAGGAGGCTGCGCGGAGCCCGGACCATGGCGTGACCCCCCCCATCCTACCCCGGGGATTGTGGCCTCCCGCGGGGCCGGGGGGGCTCGGGGCTGAAGTCCTCTCCGCTCGGCGGGGAGCTGTGCGAATTGGCGGGGCCGCTAGAGGGGAGGAAACGGCGTGGTCCGAGCGCGGGCCCCCTCCCTCTCGTTTCCCCGCCCCCCCCCACGGGGGCGGGGAGAGACTCGAGCTCGGGGGCTTGCAAAGAACCCCCCCCATAGAAGGGGGGCGACTAAAGCAGACCCCCCCCGCTTGTACTCCGGGGTGGGGGGTGAGGAGGAGAAGGACCCGGGTGTTTCTGGGCATTCCAGAGACTCACAGGTTGCCCGGATAAATTCGGTGTTCTGGTCTCTAGAAATTGACCTTTGGTGGCTCCTCCTCTTCGGTTGATCCTGCTTTTATTTTCGAGCCGCTTACTGAAGATAAAACATTATTGATAAAGAGGTGAAAGGGGGTTGGAGAGAGTTGAGTAGTCCAGATTCTACCAAAATATCTGATAGGTTCTATGGCTAGATTTTAGAGTTTTGGAGTTTGAAGGTGAGTTTTTTTTTCTCCTTTGGAATAGACTCGAAAAGAAATGATCAGCCTTGAAAATCTTGGTGAAGTCTCTTAAGTAAATAAAAAATGATGGAATTGGGGTGTGTGGCTTCACCGATTCAAATGAATTAAAGTTACTTTTGTACAAATCGGTCCTAATTAGCCTTGTGCAGAAATTGGAAAGTAGCCTCCTCCACCACTTTTTTCTTAAGGAATTCAGTTAATAAATTTCATTGACTATGTTTGAGTTCTGCTGAGCCTTAGAGGGTTTTTTTTTTCCTTTTTCCTAAAGGGGTGTTGAAGAGTTTAAAATTGTTTCTTATAAAATGTAAAAAGTGAATTGTAGCTTTCAGTTTCATTGCGGCCTCTGTCCCCCTAATACCCTTACCAAAAAAGCACCCTGAAATCTCCATAACTAATTCCATTGCGTATTCGCTATAGAAGAAAAACATTTTTGTGCTAACAATACTTGTCAAATAATAGTACCAAAATATACTAGCATCAACTACCCTAATTTGTTTGCTTTCATGAAAATAGTTGATACTGTGAAGCAGTACTGCTTGCTTTTGGGAGATTAGCAAAATGAAGTTTCTTTCCCTTTCTTTTTGGAAAGTTCCTTTTTCCAACCTATTTGTGTCTAAAGAACTAATTAGTTCTGTATGTTGTATCCATTGTGTGACTAAATGTATTAAATCCTGATGTGAAAGTCCGTAACAGTTTATTGCTTAAATAGCAAACAAAGTTTTTCCGTGAACTCTTTTTGCCTTTTCCTCTACGCTGTCAGTTATCATTTGGAGGCCCCCTGGTGCCTATAGTAAGTGTTAACTTCTTAACGGACTTACAACCCATCTGAAAATTTTTCTGAGGTTGAAGTCACTGCATTATAGAGCCTTGATTAAAAAAAAAATTCCATGGAAAGTAAAGTAGGCTGGAGTAGACTGGAAAGAGGTGCGCCTTCTGTAGAAGGTGTTGGACTGTGAAAATGGCACAGCCCAATGGCAAAGAGCTTAATTTAATCCTTGAAATGGTCTGGCTAGTGATAACATAATAACGCGTCAGAATCCCCAGATATCCAAACTCTGTATATTGTAGTGAAAAGAACTCTGAACTAGGGCTCAGGAAACATAGATTCTTGTCCTTTGTAGTTAAAGTGAATTTTATTAATCTTGGGAACTCAAGATTATATAGAACAACAGTACCTAATATGGCAGGAATACCATTTACTAGCAATGTGACACTGGACAAGTCACTTTACGTCTCTGTGCCTCTGCTTTTTTATTTGAAAGATGAAAATAATAATTTTCAAGCTGCCTACCTTTTGCCATTTTGAGGATCAAATAAGATAACAGATGTGAAAACACTTTGGAAACTAGAACACATTATGCATGTGTCAGGTATTACTTTTCTATGGTAAAAAAATGTATATGTATACGCATATACATACATATATATAAAATCCGTTTTTAAAAACATGTCCATACTTTCAGTGAGTTGGATCATTAAATATATGTGATAAAATATTGCTTTTAAGGTAGATTACTGACTTGGAAAAAATTTTTAGAATTTTGCTGGCCTCATTGGGGAGTTTAGGTCTTTTCTAACGTCATTGAGTTCATCATCAGATGAATTCTGGGATTGACTTTGGACTTTAGAAATATGGATTAACTGGACCTGTGATCTCATTGATATAGGGAACTTTGGACTTAAACCATTTTAAAAGACTTTGTGCTTTCTTATTTGTGTTAATATATTTTGGTATGGCAGGATACAGTTATTTATAATATTTTATTAATTGGGATTTTGGGACATCTTTTTGAAATTCACTTGCCTTTGGTGTGACACTGTTATGAAGTTCATGATTCTTAGAGAAAAAAAGAGCTTAAAAAATCATATTGAGGCTATTTATATTTGTGTGTGCACACATACTTCAGTCACTTGTTTAAAATAAACATTTGAATTTCCCTTTTACTTAACCATTAGAGCGTGTTGCAATGGATAGAGTGATAGATCTGGAATCAGACAGACTCGGATTCAGATTCCACCTCCGACGTTTATAAGACATGTAACCCTGTTGCGGCTGCTCACTGTCTTGGAGCTTCTCATTCATCAGGTTAGACTCGGCGGCCTCTGAGGTCCCATCCTGCTCTAGATAACGCGGTCCTAATTTGAAACGAGACCGCATTCTTAGATTGAAAATTAGAATTTCGTGCCTGTTTTTCAAAACATGCACACAATTAAAAAAATCCTTCTCCTGAACTTCACTTTTAAGCTCTGCTGTATAGTATCTGCCATACACTTGTAAAGTTTCTCCCAAATTCAGCACATTTGTAAAGTTGCCTTGTGGAATAACCATGATTGAGTTTGCCAACAATGAAAGGAACCGATACAAAATTTGCCAGTATTTCTACACAGAGAAAAAAGAGAGCGGGTCTTTAAATTTTACAAATCGCAATTGTGCCTCGTAGCCTTGATTTTTTTTTTTCTTGTTTTTAGCCTGAATCACCTGTAGCACACTTACAGATATTTATAACTCATTTTATGTGAATTTGTCTATTTTGGAGATTCTCACCACCCATCATTGATATATTTTTCAAAGGGCTTTTAAATCCTCTAGATGGAAGACATTTTTAGTAGATTACATCTAATGCATATTAACATTCTGTTGATGAGTTACTTTGATAGTGCATGTCTTTCAATACAAATTATAAAAGACACTTCTTTTTGTCATTCAGGCATAGTAGTTTCTACCATTTAATTCCCAGTGGTGACTCTACCACCACTCTTACCACATTTTTTTGTGACTATCATGGCAAGAATTCTTCTTTACCTAAACCTGCTAGCTTTATGTAGCTCATATAAATATGTCACAGAGGACATTGAGCCCCATTAGAGGGAGTCACTGTCCATCAAGCTAACTTTATATGCCTATAGACTTGACTTCTGTGGTATCATTAATGTGAGGAACTTCCTCAACTGATGAAAATCTTCGTCTTCTTTGCTACTTATTGTCTTAGTAACCTGGGGCACTAAGTAGATAACTGACTTGTTGTGGATATCAGGGGCAGGACTTGAATCTAGGTCTTCCAGAATGGAGGCCAGACTATATCTGTCCTTTCCAGCACTCTATCACTCTCAGGCCTGACCTGTCAACAAGTCCTGACCTTGCTGAAACAAAAAATCCTGCTTCTTACTTTGCCAGTAGGTCCTGTAGGTTATGTATGTGTATTTGAGACTTTATCTTTTTTGCAATTTAAGAGTTTTAAATATTTATTTTTATTGATATCACTTGCATTACTATATTCGTACCCAGCTAGCTATTACTTTGTAACAAAGAATAAAAAAGAGATAAAAGGTATTTCAGCAAAACTAACCAGTACAATAGCCAGTTTCTGATGGTGTATGCAATATTCCATACCTGTTGTGTCCCCAATCTGTGTATTAAGAATGGCGGTGTATTTTTTTTTCAGCTCTTCTTTGAAGCTGATCTTGGTTATTGTGATTATATGAAGTTCAGTTTTGATTTTTAGTTCTTTAAATTTACATTATTGTATTCAGTTGTATATATTGTTTTCCTAGCTCTTCACTCTATCAGTTCATATTTCTTATCATGCTTCTCGGAATTCCTTGTTTATAGTTTCTGTATCACGATAATGCTTCATTAAATTCACATACCACAATTTGTTTAGCCATTCCCTAATAGCAATTTGTGTACAGTTTTTTGCTTCCACATAAGTGCTGCTATGAATATTTTGGTATATGGGGTACCTTTCTGTCTTAATATCTGTGGGGTATGTTATGGCTAACAGCAAGATTTCCACATCAAAGGGTAAGGGCATTTTAGTCACTTTTAATAAGTATAATTCTAAGTTGTTTTCCAGAATGGTTTAAAGAGTTCACAACTTCGTCATTAGTGTATTTAGTATGCTTGTCTTTCTCAAGCTCTTCCCACATTGATGAGAAGTGTAGTTTAACCACCTAGTCATTTGGGAATGGGTTTGAAGTCATTATTGGACATGAAATTGATGTAGTACACAGCTCTTTGACTTCCTTACATATATTTAAGATAGGTTTTTATTTTTTAGCTTTATAATAAAGTTAAATTTAAACTTGAATATTGTAATATGGCCTCAGTGAAAAAATTGGCATTGCATAGGAATTTTTCCGAATGGAAGAATTAAATTGTATATTTTTAACTCAATAATTTTTTACAATAAATAGTTGGGTTTTTTTTGTTTTAAGACAAACCATTGCATTTTCCATCTTCCATCTCATTTCCTCCTGTTTTGTATGTAAATATATGAACAGGAATGCTTACTCATTTTATGTTTTTTTTT